TTATATTTCAATCATTAAAAAACAGTATCATTGGTTTTCTTTAAGAAAGGAAAAGGGGCTGGGCGTGGTGGCTCAAGCCTGTAATTCCAGCATTTTGGGAGGCTGAGGCAGGCATCCGCCTGCCTGAGGTCAGGACTTTGAGACCAGCCTCGCCAACATGCTGAAACGCTGTCTCCACTAAAAATACAAAAATTAGCCAGGTGTGGTGGTGGGTGGCTATAATCCCAGCTACTCAAGAAGCCTGACCAAAAGAAGATATGAACCGCCAGGAGTTGGATCGCAGTGAGCCAAGATCGGCAACTGCACTCCAGCCTGTGCCACAGAGGGAGATCCACCTCAGAAGAGAGAGAGAAAAGGGGAGGGGAGGGAGGGAGGAGGGGACGAGAGGAGGGAGGAGAGGAGAGGAGAAGAGACAAGAGAGGAGAGACAAGAGAGGAGAGGAGAGAGAGAGAGAAGAGGAAGAAGAGAGAAGAGAAGAGGAGAAGAAGAGGAGAGAGAGAAGAAGAAGAGGAAAGGAAACCGCATGGTGGCTCACACTTGTAACACCAGCACTTTGAGAGGCTGAGGCAAGTAAATTACCTAAGTCAGGAGTTCGAGACCAGCCATGGTGAAACCCCATCTCTACTAAAAATACAAAACTAGCCAGGCATGGTTGTGTATGCCTGTAATCCCAGATACTTGGGAGGCTGAGGCAGGAGAATCGCTTGAACCCAGGAGGCAGAGGTTGCAGTGAGTGGGATCGCACCATTGCACTCCAGCCTGGACAACAAGAGAGAAACTACGTCTCAAGAGAAAGAAAGAAAGACGGACGGACGGACGGACAGAAGGAAGGAAGGAAGGAAGGAAGGAAGGAAGGAAGGAAAGAAGGAAAGAAAGAAAAGGAAGGGAAACACTAGGATGATACCCGCTAAACTGGTAACAATGTTTAACTGGTTGATCTGGGGAAAGATAAAAGAAGAAGAAGCGTTTTCACATAAAATTTCTACAAAACTGTTTTATAATGAGATTTTTGTATTGTACTGATGTGACACTAACATGACTAAAAAGAAAGAACTGATCTTAGGGACATACACAAGACCCTCCTCCCCACCCTACCCATCAACCCATCAGGAGAAAAATCACTGTTTTAAACTGAAGGCCGGCCAGGTGTGGTAGCTCACACCTATAATCCCAACACTTAGAGAGGGAGGCCAAAGTAGGAGGATTGGGTCAGCTCAGGAGTTCAAGACTAGCCTGGGCAACATAGGGAGACCCCTGTGTCTACCAAAAAAATTAAAAATTAGTCGGGCATGGTAGCACACGCCTGTGGTTCCAGCTATTCAGGAAGCTGAGGTAGAAAGATCACTTGATCCTGGGAGGTCAAGGCTACAGTAAGCCGCGATCATGCCACCACACTCTAGCCTGGGCAACAGAGCAAGACCCTGTCTCAAATAATAATAATAATAAACTGAAGATGACAGTTTCCCACATACTGCTATCCCTTAACTTCACATAGAAGCACGATTGCAAAATTAGAAACATGTCAGTCTCCAAACAGCTGTTCAATGTCCAGTCTGTTTCTGTCTACAACCACCCTAAGGGGAGCATGGGCTCCGGTTGGTCCTGAAAGCATTTTCCATCATCTGACCCCTCAACAGCCTCTTCCCAGGCCCAGCAGGCTGCATCTTCCTTGCCCACCCCCTTTTTTTCTCCCCTTTCATTAAGACGTCATTTGGCAAAGTCTCTGTAAATGCCTGTCAGTTCATTTCCCATTAACAGTTACCACAGAACTTCTCTACTTTATTCCCAGATAAATAATTGAAAATAAACACCCAGTTTGGAGAGGAACTTGATGCATCTGAAGTTAACAAAGCCACAATGGCTTCGAACCTGACAGGCTCTTCTGAGTAATGCCCTTTCCGTGAGCAATATTTTGCTTTGCCTCCGACAGGGGGACAAATAAATCTGAAAGGCCGAAGGAACAGAAACGGAGTTAAAGAACACAGTCATGTGTTAACCATTCCCTTCCCACCAACCCAAGAGTGTGATGCCCTTCATGTCCCAAACACATAACCAGGGTTGGTGGCTCTGATGCTCCCAGGCACTGGGGCCTGTGCTTGAATGGTCACAGGCAAGGGTCAAATCAGGGCACTGCCGCAGAATCCCTCAAGCCACATCGCTGCCCTTTCCAGACTTCTGCATCTCCTTATTTCTCCAGGTAAAATAACACAGACACTGACCCACTTCCTTTCACCCCAACAAACTCCAAGCAGACATGTCCCCAGGGGACAGAAAGGAGACCCTGAGGTTTTCTGTAAACAGGCCCCCTACATCCTGGGGCCTGTCGCAAAGGGTGAGAGCCCCTTGGTCGGAATCCCAGCCAAAGCCTTTTGCTCTGCCTTCATTCTGCTCCTGGGGCCATCTGCTGAATGGTGGGGCTCCATCATCAGGGGAACGAATCGGGAACTGAAATGATCTGGGGCCGAATTTACCCACAAAACTTCCCACAGCCTCAAAAGCCACTGGTTCATAGATCCCAAAGACAGCAAACATCCTGAACACAAATTCTAGCCCCGCTCCTCCCCTGTTAGACTCTAAACCCTGTGGGTGCTCAGTCGATGTTGGCCAAACGCAAGGACTCAAGACCAAAACCCATTAACTCCGACTCCACAGAGCATCTTCGATAGATCCAAGCTGCTGCCCTTTTCAGGTTTGGGGAGCAAATTAATAGTGAAACCAAAGGAAACCTTTGGCCAGCCTCAGAGTGAAGGTCAACAGACTGTTTCCAAGCACAACTCTTTCAACAACATTTGTATTCACGGACTGTAGCAATCATAAGTAATTCCCATCCATGTATGAGACCTTCTAACACAAATTCCCCCTCACATCGACAGCAAGAATTCATTTCTTTTTAAATCTCCTAGAACAGATGTTTACTGTCAGGCTGATCTTTCTGCCAAGTAGCGAGGTTCTGGGCATTTGTGGTGATGATGTCCCTTTCTGAGCTCTTGCAACCCCTCCCCAGACATTCAACAGCTGCTCCCAAACCATTCCTGATTCTATCTAGGGCTTCTCTGGGATCTCCTCCATATTCAAACCATATATTAGAACAAATATGAACCAAAAGGTTCAAAAACAAAATACTGCTGCAGCCGGGCACGGTGGCTCACGCCTGTAATCCCAGCACTTTGGGAGGCTAAGGTGGGAGGATCACTTGAGGTCAGGAGTTCAAGACCAGCCTGGCCAACATGGTGAAACCCCATCTCGACTAAAAATACAAAAATTAGCCGGGTGTGGTGGCGGGCACCTGTAATCCCAGCTACTCGGGATTACAACCTGGGAGGTGGAGGTTGCAGTGAGCCGAGATGGTGCCACTGCACTCTGGCCGGGTGACAGAGCAAGACTCTGTCTCAAAAAAAAAAAAAAAAGATTGAGTGGCCGTGTCTGTCTCTGTCCCCTGGACAGTTGGCTTCCTTACTGCCGACTATGTCTGTGTGGTAGTGGCTTCCAGCGGCCCTCAATGCCGGCTGCCATATTCTGATCTCAAGGCCACCCTGGTTTTGTGTGAACTTGTTGTTGGAGTATTTTCTGCTTGCCCTGGCAAGTGACCAGTGGCTTTAACCCCTGAGCAGCAGGCAAAGATCTGGCTCAGCAGCTCTGCACGGCCCCTGCTGGATCCCATTTTGCTCTCCTCTCATGCACCCAACTGGGCTTCCAAGACAGTCTCTTGGAAAGGACTTTGCAATCCTGGTGGGTCTTGCTATGTTACTGGGGAGTGGGGGTGGTGGGGTGGTATCAGAAGTATTTGGTCAGCTGTCTGAATGTAGGGGTTTTCTCTGGCCAGTGTAAACAGTCATTGGCTAATTTGTACTATGCAGCAGTATTTTTTTGTTTTTTGAGACGGAGTCTCACTCTGTCATCCAGGCTGGAGTGCAATGGTGTGATCTTGGCTTACCGCAACCTCGCCTCCTGGGTTCAAGTGATTCTCGTGCCTCAGCCTCCTGAGTAGCTGGGATTACAGGCGTGCACCACCACACCCGGCTAATTTTTGTATTTTTAGTAGAGATGGGGTTTCACCATGTTGCCCAGGCTGGTCTCAAACTCCTGACCTCAGGTGATCTGCCCACCTCAGACTCCCAAAGTGCTGGGATTACAGGTGTGAGCCACCGCATCTAGCCATGCCACTCAATCTTTTAACGACAAAAAAATGACACATGGTCTTTAAGACAGTGGTCCCCAACCTTTTTGGCACCAAGGACTGGTTTTGTGGAAGACAGTTTTTCCACGGACTGGGGTCGGGGTGGGGGGTTTGGGATAAAACTGTTCCACCTCAGATCATCAGCCATTCGTTAGATTCTCTTAAGGAGCACACAGCCTGGATCCCTCACACGCGCAGCTCGCAGCAGGGTTTGCGCTCCGTTGAGAATCGAACGCCACCGCTGATCTGACAGGAGGCGGAGCTCAGAAGATCTGACAGGAGGCGGAGCTCAGAAGATAAAGGTCACTTGGCAGCTGGCTGCTCGCCTGCTATGCAGCCCAGTTCCTAACCAGCCATAGACCAGTACTGGTCCTTGGTCTGGGGGCTGGAGACCTCTGCTTTAAGACAGTATCACAGCCGTCCAACATCACATTGAGCTGTCTGATCCAAAGAACAGTTCTTCCATAACACAAGGAATCCATTTGTCATTAGCCTAGGATCCAGAGGCATAGCTCCTGCTAATTGTTATAGTTACAGAATCACCCATCATTCCTTCTCTTTCTCCACTTGGGAACTTAAGGAAAAAAGAAAATAGGAAGGCAGGGAAGAGAACTTCAACCTTCCTACCTCCCGGGGTACATGACCGCTGACTATTTTAAGAAAGAAATCACCAGTCAGTTCCTCTAATGCCTTGCTCTCTGTTTAAATACCGGTGGCTACTTAAAGGAGACATTAACGGTATGTCAGGTTTGATCAGAAATAAATCCATTGCACAGAGCTGGCTGTATCCTGATACGACAGCTAAAAGTAGCGTGGTACTCACCAGGTAAGGCATCAGGAGGTCTGCCAAGTAGACAAAAGCTGCTCCAAGAGTGAAGCCAACAGCCACAGGGAAGAAGGCAAAGGCACCAAAGCCCCCAGAGGACATGGCCATCTCAACTGCTGGGGCCAGGAGAGACCAATAGGAAGCTGCCAACATGACCTACAGAAACCACAACAAGAGATAAACATTAAAGCAACTGCAGAAGGCCTTCCAGGCAGGACCTCAGTTGCTCTCTGTGGCCCAGACTGACCCCTACAATTTCACATGAGTTAGGTCTTTCATCCCAGGTTGGAAGGTACTATCATAAACCAAAAAGTCATCCCCAGAATTCCCGGAGCTTACTATGGCAAGAACTCAATTTGGGGTAGGATAGAGTTGACCTTGGGAGGATGCAGTCCAGTTCGCCATCATCTAGCCTATAATTCAGTGGTTCTCAACCAGCAATGGTTTTGCCCTCCACAGGACATCTGGCGATGGCTAGAGACATTTTTAGCTGTCACACTGGGAGGAGGGTAGGGGCAGGTAAACATTCTACAATGCACAGCATACCCCTGACAACAAAGAATTATCTGGCCCCGAATGTCGGTGATAATGCTGTTGAAAATTCCTATTCCTTTTTTTTTTTTCCTGTGGTGAAGCCTTACTCTCTCTCCCAGGCTGGAGTGCAGTGGCATGATCTTGGCTCACTACAACCTCCACCTCCCGGGTTCAAGTGATTTTCCTGCCTCAGCCTCCCGAGTAGCTGGGATTATAGGTGTGTGCCACCATGCCCAGCTAATTTTTCAGTATTTTTTAGAGATGGGGTTTTGCCATGTTGGCCAGGCTGGTCTCAAACTCTTTATCTCAGGTAACCCACCCACCTCGGCCTCCCAAAGTGCTGAGATTAAAGGTGTGAGCCACCATGCCCAGCCCCAAAAATCCTATTTTAATTAAATTCTTCCAAGACAAATTGCTCACTACTTCATGAGTTCCACTGCATTGTAACACAGGTCTAATTATTACAAAGTTCTTCTTATGTTGAGCTGAAATCTGTCTCCTTTCCACTTTTACCTTTCAGCTGTGGTTTTGCTCCCTAGAACACCAAAAACTGTGTCCTTCCTGTGTGACCTGTGACAGCCTCTGAAATATCTGAAGATAACCAGCAAGTCAACGTCATATTGGTCTCATCAATTATCTTATCTCTAAAAAGGAAGAAGGGAACTAATATTTATTGATCACTTGGTATTTCCAAGGGCCAAGATTTACATTTGATATCTTACCTTGTCATCGCAACCACCCCGGAGGCAGATGATGTTTTCTATTGCAATTTGTAGATAAAGACATTGCATCTTGGAATAGTAAGGTAATTTGCTCAAGGTCCTACAGGTCAGTGGTCCCCAATCCTTTGGGCACCAGGGGCCAGTTTCGTGGAAGACCATTTTTCCACGGACCAGGCAGTGGTTTGGGGATGAAACGGTTCCACCTCAGATCACTGGGCATTAGAGTCTCATAAGGAGCTTGTAACCTAGATCTGTGGCATGTACAGTTCACAACAGGGTTCATGTTATGAGAATCTAATGTCGCCACTGGTCTGACAGAAGGCGGAGTTCACGCGGTAATCCTCACTCACTCGCCTGCTGCTCACCTGCAGTTTGGCCTGGTTCCTAACAGGCCATGGATCAGCACTGGTCCATGGCCCAGAGGTTAGGGACCCCTACTATAGGCAGTAAGTAGCAGATCCGAGGAAATGACCAAGCAGGACCATAACCAACTCAATGAGAGGATAAACATGAAGGAGAAGAAAAAAAATTAGGCTGGTCTGAAATCTCAGCAAAGCCAATTTGATAAAAGGTTCTCCAGTGGACGAGCTGGTACGGTGATGCATGAATGTAGTCCCAGCTACTAGGGAGCCTTGAGCCCAGGAGTTCAAGGCCCAGCCTCGGCAACATCGCGAGACTCTTGTCTCTTAAAACTAAGAAGCTCTCCAGCACTGACCAAATTAAATACTCATCCATAGCTGTTTACTCTTATAGATGCTATGACATCTTTTGGCTAGAGTACACCCACTACCCATCGTAACTATGCGGCAGTCATTGCCGACACAGAAAATGTTGAATGGGTTTCTAAAAATTACTTAATTATGCCTTGCCTTAAAAAATCAAATGTATCACCCATCTTCAAATTAGCATTCAGAGTGACAGAATCAGGTATTATAATAGCAACAATAAAGAACAAATGTATGCATAAATCCATAAATTCCCTTCTTCCAGCTGTCAATCACACACAGTCACTTGCTCGGGGCCACATTCTCCCAGTAAAAGTCTAAGTGCCACCCATGGAAACCTGCAACAGCCTCCAAAACTCTAAGAATGAAAATGCCTCCACTAAACAGGATGGGAGCTGAGGCTGATCAGTTCAACCCCATGAGCCGGGCTGCCCATAAAGATCATCAAAGGAAACGTGAGGGCTCCTCCTCCCCGCTACAGCCTAATCCACCCCTTTTCCAGACTTTGTCTTCCTAGCTTTAGAATCCAACAACCCTCAGTAGCTGCCCTGCATGGTCAACTCCCCACCAAAGAGGACCTGCAACGAGGCACAGAGTTGGAAAGCTGCCACTTCCTCTTTTTATTATTTTTTGAAAAGGAGTCTCTGTCGCCCAGGCTGAAGCACAGTGGCACAATCTCAGCTCACGGCCACCTCCGCCTCCCAGGTTCAAACGATTCTCCTGCCTCAGCCTGCCAAGTAGCTGGGATTATAGGCGTGCGCCAGCACACCTGCCTAATTTTTGTATTTTTAGTAGAAACAGGGTTTTGCCATGTTGGCCAGGCTGGTCTCGAACTTCTGACCTCAAGTGATCTGCCTACCTTGGCCTCCCAAAATGCTGGAATTACAGGCGTGAGCCACTGCTCCTGGCCCAATTCTTTTTTTTAAACCTGACCTGTGCAGCAACTTCTCTGGTTCTCCCATACAGTCCCACCTTCAACAACTCTAAAACCATATGGCCCAGGTAAGCCCACTCTTCTCACCCTCTAAATCTTCCCCACACTCCATTCTGTGATGAGGAAACATAATATTGCTGTCAGTATCACCTGAGAGAACTCCCCAACGTCTGCTCTCATCTCCTTTTCAGCCCCGGGTCCAACCTCTTCTGTCCACATTCCCTTCCCTCCCTCTGCATCACTGAATACCAACCTTTTTTCTGCCCTTATACATGAGAAACACACAATGCACAAGCTATTCAAGGAGCAGGAGCAGAAGAGAAGTGTCTCTCAAGAGAGGGTGTGCTGGAATTTGGGATGCTTGCAATGCAAAAGCATCCCAGCTGATTCAGGTGGGTCCCCCCCTTGAGAATCACTGTCCTTTCTCTTTCCAGTCAAATTCAGGATCCAGCTGGATTTCCTTCAATTCTTTTCCTCGCCAGCCTCCCAGCCTCACACACAAACTGGAAAACCACCAAAGAACAATTGGGAAATTGAATAGGGTTGCCTGTCTAAAATGAAAAAAGCACCCAAAGCAAAATTCTTTGTTTGTTTTTTGTTTTTGTTTTTGTTTTGAGACAGAGTCTCGCTCTGTCACCCAGGCTGGAGTACAGTGGCGTGACCTGAAACCTCCATCTCCGCCTCCCGGGTACAAGAGATTCTCGTGCCTCAGCTTCCCAAGGAGCTGGGATTACAGGTGTGCACCATCACGCCCAGCTAATTTTTGTATTTTTAGTAGAGATAGGGTTTCACCATGTTGGCCAGTCTGGCCTTGAACTCCTGGCCTCAAGTGATGCCCACCTCAGCCTCCCAAAGTGCTAGGATTACGGGTGTGAGCCACCGCGCCCAGCTGAAAAGTTATTTAAAGGGCGAGGGTGGTAGTAAAGATGATTGTGTCCTAATGCCTAAACCTGTGAATATTTCACATTACAAGTAAAAAGGACTCTGTACATGGGATTAAATTAAGGACCTGGAGATGAGGAGATGATCCTGGCTTATTTGAGTCGGGCCAGTGTAACCACAGGATCCTTACGAAGGAGTGAGAAGTGTCAGAGTCACGAGGTCAGGAGTTTGAGACCAGCCTGACCAACATGGTGAAATCCTGTCTCTATTAAAAATACAAAAATTAGCCGGGCATTGTGGCAGGCACCTGTAATCCCAGCTACTCAGGAGGCTGAGACAGGAGAATCACTTGAACCCAGGAGGCAGAGGTTGCAGTGAGCCAAGATTGCACCACTGCACTCCAGCCTGGGTGATAGAGCGATACTCCATGGCAAAAAAAAAAAGAAGGGTCAGAATCAGAGAGAAAATGTGATAACAAAAGCAGAGGCTGTAGTCAGAAAGAGATTGGAAGATGCCATGCTGCTGGCTTGAGGATGAAGAAAAGGCCATCTGCTAGGGAAGGGAGGTGGCCCCAAGATGCCGAGAAAGCAGGGAAGCAGCTTCCCCTCCAAATCCTCCAGGAGGATTTGCTGCCACCTTGACTCTGTCACAGTTAAAATCACCGGGGACTTCAGACCTCCAGTGCTGTAAGATAATAAATTTGCACTGTTTTAAGCCACTGCATTCATGGTAGTTTGTTACATCAGCAATAGAAAATTAATACAGGCATATGTGACTTTTCTTCAACTTTATTTTTTAGAGCACTTTTAGACTGATAGCAAAATTGAGTGGAAAGTACCAAGAATCCTGACATATGCCTGCCCGTCCCCACTACACAAAACTATGCCCACTATCAACATCACATCACAGTGGTACATTTGATACAACAGATGAACCCACACTGATGCGGCACCAATACCCAAGGGCCATCTTTTTTTTGTTTTGTTTTTTGTTTTTTGTTTTTGTTTGTTTGTTTTGAGACAGGGTCACCCAGGCTGAAGTGCAGTGGCGTAATCTCGGCTGACTGCACCCTCTGCCTCCCAGGTTCAAGTAATTCTCATGCCTCAGCCTCCCAAGTACCTGGGATTACAGGTGCCCGCATGACACCCAGCTCATTTTTGTCCCTTTAGTAGAGATGGGATTTCACCATATTGGTCAGGTTGGTCTTAAACTCCTGACCTCAAGTGACACAACTGCCTCGGTCTCACAAAGTGCTAGGATTACAGGTGTGAGCCACCACGCCCAGCTGGTCCGTAGTTTCCATTAGGGTCCACTCTTGCTGCTATGCATTCCATGGATTTTGACACATATATAATATCA